GTGCCAGGGAGATGAATCGCCGGAGGGCTTACATTAACACAAGTGCTGATTCCATCGCTTGGCTAGGAGCCCAAAATGGCGAACTGTTGTATTTGTCTCATGTCATTATTGACATAACATCTGTGGGCCATTTACTCTGGAAATTGAGCCACAAGCCATATAATCAACAGTCAGTAGTTCTTGCTGAGGGGCTTGCAGTGGGGCTGGAGGGGCAGACACTCCTGCCCCCTTAAAAATCCACTTGTCCTGTCTGGAGGAAAGGTTTATTTTTATTTTTTATATGAGGAACTCAATGACATTCAGTGAAATTTCTCTTCACTGTGCAATGGTACAAAACATCATCCCTGTCCAGGAGATCTGGTCCACTAGCAGACATGCTTCTGGTTGCTATTTGCAAGTAATCTGATGCGCTTTTAGTTGGCTGTTTCTAACAAGGCACAGAACTGTGACTAGCTGTAGACATGTCCCTCGTGTTTTTATAAGTGTGCGGAAAAAGATCAGAGAATTTGTCTAAATACAAGCAATTACCTTTCTTCTTTGTGAGGTCACGGTTTATTGTAAATGAACATCTTACCTCATATAAGGTGCAGAGTAAACTATATTAGAATTGTGCAGGGAATCAATAGCCAGTTAAAAGCACATTGTTAGTAACAGGCTCTCGTAACGAAAATGTTTAAGGAAACAATATAATAAGTCTAATGATGGTTTAGGTTTTGTTGTGGGGAGGGCAGGAATTGGATCAACCCATTTCCCTTAAAGGGATTCTTCATTCTTCTCCTGTATGAATTTCATTTTTAAGTGAAGCTGGCCATCTGGAACTCAGCAAAAACACTGGGCCAGATACGCATCTGGTGTAGATCAAAGCTCCACTGATTTCAGTGGAAGGATGTTGATTTACACCAGCTGAGGATCAGGCCCACTGTATCTAACATTAAAGCCTGCAAAGCTCTTAGTTTCTACGGCCTGTGTGGTTAGCTTGTCCTTTTAAAAAGGAATGTCTAATTTGCCGAAGAGTGGGAAATCATTCTGAAACAGTGGCATGATTTCAAATTCCCTAACAATCTTCACCAGTACAAATATCTAGAAAGAACAGTCTCGTTCTTCACCAGTCATGTCTGCTTCATCAGCACTCTCTCCAGCTTGTGCAGAGAAGGCAGAAGAACCTTCTGTGAGGCAGGAATGAAAACTAGTAATTCCTTTCATCCTGATAAAGGAAGATCTAGGGACAGTCTCCATCTCACTTCCCCTCTCCCCTCCCAAGCAGCATACACAACCCTAATCTACATGTTTCCCAAGACACCAGAGGCACCGTCCAGATGTGCAAATGTGTGGATTGTCTGTTCCTGAAAATTCTTCCCAAATCTCAAGCAGAATTGATTAAAAATTCTTTGCTCTGGAAAAGGGAAGCAGTGCAGACAGAGCATCCTAGACTTTCAGTTTATTCATAGAGGATATTGTGTAGTTTCCTTCTCAAGAACTGGAAACAGCATTGAATGTAGGGAGAGGTAGAATTACCATTATGATATTTAAATAGTAAAGTGATTTTCCTGCAGAATATAAGCTGTTTTACTGCCTCTTAAATTGGGCAGTGATACTGCTGGTGTCTCAGATAATGTCAGGTTTCAGCAATAGGGCTCCATCAAGAGGAGGCTCAGAATGTCCATTTTAATGGGAAATTGGGGTTTGATGCATTGTATGTAACCAACATTTTTTTTCCCATCAGCACATATTAATTGCTCTGGCAAAATCTTTATGATGCCATCAGACCTCCTCACTTGTCTTGTACAATGGCAATGGCTGTGTCCTCGGTCATCCTGCTATGTATTGTGCTCTGACACCTAGTATAGTGTATATATAATATTCAGATTATCAACAGGTTATTTATTTATAATGTTTTTTACAGCCTCAGCCTGCAGTCAGACTGACGTGAGTGAACCCTTGAAGTAGATGGGCCACACAAGCGTTCAGGGTCTGCCTGTGCAGTTTCTGTTGCAATACTGGGTTTTGCAGTTGCAAATGGGGCTCTGGTTAACTTGACTCATGAACCAGGTGGAAGTGTGCCCGCTACATATGCCTGCGTTCTTTATATTGGCCACCAGAGGCTTGAATTTTTAAATTGGCAGTCATTGTCTTTGAAAGCTCTTCATGGCATAGGACCTGGCAGCATTTGAGACCAGGAACCTTGTCCTGATGGATAGCAGCACTTGTTCATCATCTGCCATTAGGGATCCCAGCACAGCCCCATAACGTCCTGTCTGGCACTCAGATGTATGCCGATAGACCTTTGTGCCCAAACCGCTCTGACTGCAGGATCAGGGCTTTCCTCAATAACCACCCTGATGTTCTGGGTCAGTCTGACCTGGAACCTGCTTCCCCCTGCTATCCATCTCAGTCCATCCCTCCCTATCTTTAGAAGTCAGCTAACAACTGTTTTTCCCCAAAAAGGTGGTGGTGGGTTTTTTTTTTTTTTTTTTGGAGTGATCGCAGTTGGTTCCCTATTTATTACCATCCTTCTGGTTTGTACTGAATCCTCCCATTTGCTGTTACCTCTTCCTGTCTCTTTCACTTACCTAGATATTTATTATGCCAGGCTCATTCCCATTGGCTCTCAGGGCCTGGACTTCTAAGAGGATCATTTTTAACTGTTGATGTTGTATTTTGATGTCGTGGTTGTTATGCTGGACGGTGCCTTCAGAGGAGATGGAGGGGGAATATTATTTTACTTAGTAGTTGATATGCAAGTAGGAAAGTTTTGAAGCCATCTCTGGGCCACAGCTGGATTTTGATGTCGCACAGAACATCATAAAAATGATTCGTATTTCACTTTTTATTTGTGGAGATAAAGTTGAAAGGCTTTAGAATGTAAATGGTAGTTTCAGCCACATTTTCGGGGTGTTATTTATCAATGTCACAGAATGTTATGTTTGAGGGATTTTCTTTTTCCCTCTAGTAAATTAGATTTGAAGAGGGAATTGGCTTTTGAAGCTAGAGAGACAGGTCGCTTTTTGTTGGTTCTGAGACACCTTTGTTGAAGACTTATTTCTCAGGAATCTGGGGATATAATCTGGAACGTGTTCTGGAGCACCTCATTATGTGAATTACATTTCACCATTTGCTTCTCATATAAGCAGAGCAATGTAGAAGCAAATGCCCAAGAGAATAAATTCTTCCCTCAAACTAAAACATTTGCAGTAGAGGAGCAGTGTATCAATTAGCAGGCTCTTAATTAAATAGCTTGTTTGATTTGCATCCAAATTATAATTTGTATGTTATATCTGGGCTTTGATACCTTTCCACTAACTGTTCCATGTATCTTTGTAAAGTTAAATTCTATTTTCCACTATCAAAACCTCATTCAGTCTCCAAGGTCTATGGTACGAGAAGGTTAAAAGGTCAATCATTTTTGTATCCATTTAAAGTCCATTATTAGTTGCCCGCTACAACCTATCAAGCAACTCTCTTATTTTTTCCAGCCACTGATTCAGGAATCTATAGCTCTGTGCAGATAAATGGGATTTCATGGGCTTCTAACCTTCTTGCTTTATTGAAAAGCAGAATATTAACTGCTCCGCTGACCAGCTGTCCATTAAAAACATACAGGATATTTTTAGAAAATTGTTTGCCAATCAAATCCTAACATCTGTGGAGAGCCTTTCAGTTTGTTTGTTGTTTTATAAGCAAATGGTACAACTGCTTTTCCCCCCTCTATTTAAATATTACCATTTACCTTCTCTCTGGGTCTCTGTCCATGTCTCAGGGCATTATGAAGTACAGTAAATAGCGCAGCATGTTAGCTGGAATTGTAAACCTGTGAGGTTTAACAAGTCCATTAGGTGCTAGTTTTTGCTAGTCTATGGGGCCTCCTGCTTTATTTTCTCTTCAGTGAAATTAGCACTTAAAATTTTTTGCTATTCCCAGAGCTAAAAGTGTTCTGTTAGCCCGTAGGACCGTCGGCCAAGCTCTAAGTTATTAGGGAGTTGACATCTGGCTAATAATTGACTGGAGTTCAGGAGACACACAACCTGGCAAAGCATACAAATGCACAGATGCAGAGAGCTAACCGCTCTGGATTTCTGAACAGACAGCTCTGGGTGTCCCTGGGCTGGTTATTGAGGACTTAACCCATTGATGTGAGCAACTGGAATGTCCAGATACTCATGGTCATCATACCAGCCGCTACTGCTGGGGAAATCCTGATTTTTGCTTCCACAGAGTTTAATGATGGGCACTGGAGTTTTTTTCAGACCTAATGCAGTTCTTCCAACCCACCTAGCATTACCAGCTTAATAACCTAATACCGGGACTTCGAGAAGCTGTAAATCAGAAAGACAAACTTCTTTTTTTTTTTTTTTTAATTAAAATGTACAGCTTTCTTCAGTGAAATATGGCTTTGGGTCAGATTCAGAGAGACACTGAGCTTTAACATTTCCCATCGAAGCTAGCAGGAGTTGTGGGTGCTCATTGTCTCTTGGGATTATGCCCTTTTATTTTATTGGATTTTTTCCCCTTTATAACATTGTCACCAGCCAATCAGAACCCATCTATGCAGCTCTGTACTGCAGTAATCAAAGGGAGAAGATGTTTTTCATGTGCAGAGTTATGATTAAATGATCTCCCCTTTTGTCTTTCATTTGCCATTTCATTTTAATGAATATTTTATAGAGATGATTTCTGCTTTTTAATAGTACAGAAATGTGAGTCCTGCTTCAGTTCTCCCTCCAGCTTTACACCATATCAGCTCCAGTAGAGTTACTTTTTTCACCCCAGCATAAATAACAGAAGAATCCAGTTTGCAGACTCATAATCAACTTCGGGTTAGAACTTCTTTAAAAAAAAAAAAAAAAAAAGTCACAGTTAATAACAGGAGAGTGGGGAAAGTGGTCTCAGCCAGAGTCTTGGGAGCCGAGGAGTTCATATTTACATCTATTATTAAATAATAAACTCAACCCCGTTCTCTCATCTCACATTCCCAATGACCCACTTCGTTCTCTCCAATGCAGGGTATTGATTTCTGTCCTGGGCAGAACATTTCTGGAGTAACCACCCATACTCAGGAGGAACACACCAAACTGCCTCTGCTCTTCCACTTGGGAAGGGATCCTGGGGAAAAGTATCCGATAAGGTGAGCCAGAAAGACACAAATGGAAATGTCCATTGCTGGAAATGGTCTGGTCCAGAAGGAGCTCGGAAGTGAGGTGGTAGGAAGCTCTTCAGCGAGCACAGTGTGACTTTAACACAAGGCTTAGTTCATCTGGCATTTACTCTCCTGTCACAGGTGCATTTGGTCCCATTATTTCACTGACCTGACTCTCTTGATTGCTGGACACGGTGGGCGAGGGAATATTTTTTATTGTACCGACTTCTGTTGGTGAGAGAAACAAGCTTTCAAGCTTACACAAAGCTCCTCTTCCGGCTATTCAGGTTCTGTTTCATATGGGTAAAATAAGCTGTATTAAATGGTCATCGTGTCATTGTGAGCATGATATTGTTTCCATGTCTTGCTGTCCATCTTAGTAATTCATTATTAATGGTATGTATTTTGTTAATTGATGATTATTTTATCTTAAGAGGGATGTGAACAGGCAAATGCACCAAATGAAACTGATATGGCAATTGTGCCAATCTAGCAGTTAAAGCAGAATCCACACGATCATATAGCTATGGGAGGAAAGGAGACAGACATTTCTTAGGGAACAAGTGGTGGTGTAGTACAAAGATTACATCAGCATAGATATCACCTTGGGTATGTGGCAATACCTATATATTTATTAATAGACTTGCTAGCTGTTTCTGAAAATCAGGTGTTACACCTCAGAAAGCTTAGACTGGTGACCACGGTTCTAAACTAACAAATAAAGAACAGAACAAAATATAGTTTTCAAATGGTTTGGCCAGACACTGGGTTGGCACTTGTCCCAGCTTGACTTAGACTGTCTGGTGGCTCTTGTCCCATGTCCAACACCCCTTACCTTTTGTGTCCCATGGACAGGACTGACTCTAGGGTAGCTGCAGAATAGCAAATCAGTGAACGTGCGCACCCAAGCTAGTCTGCTGTCTCCGCTTGTTCTCCAGGGCCAAGCCTCCCCTTTCCCATCACAGCACATTCGGAGAGGTTTTGCCACCAGTGCCTTCCCCCTGCATTCTGTGATGCCGAGTGGGAAGCTTTCAAGCCTGTGGGAGCTTTCTCAGAGAGTAATTGAGTTGGTGGCCCACCCTCTGCCCACCCCGCCCACTCTTTGGACTATGCTGGTCTCTTAATCTCCCATAACTGTGTCACTGCAACCTGCACTTTTAGCAGACTTCCTGCCCCAAATGATTTCTGCAAGGGTTTAAGCAGGCATTAGTTAACCCAGCCAGAAGGTGAATCTGGCCCTGTGAGTTTAATTACAACCACCCTACGAAAAGTCTGTCTGGGCTCCGCCCTTCTCCGTTGATTAAGAAGAATGTTATGGGGGTTTTAGCAAGGTCAGATGGCGGACTGGGATATGCTATCTTTTCCATTCCCATTGGCTCTGATTTATAGAATGTATAAGTAAATAAGGAGGAAAGTGGGGCCGCCACGACCACCTGCACAGAAATGGTTTTGTGCAGTGGCTTTTACAGAGAGATGTTTTCTGAACTGACAGGACTGCAATTACTCAACCATTTTAAATAATTGAGTGGATGCACTCACTCCATTATTTTCAACAGCACTGAGCCTGTACTGTCCACTAAGTGTTCTCACTAGAGAGAGAAGGGGAGAAAAAATATTTTCACTTCTCTCTCTCTCTCTCTCTCATAACAGATGAGCACCCTAGAGGTACATTACACAGTGTATAAAACTCTCCAGAATCCCATTGCATTTGCTCTCTTTCTATTGCATTTCAGCACTAATGAACAAACCAAATCATATCACATCTTATTCTTTGCTGCTGCGTTTTAAATTCAGCTCAGTAAAATTACATTACTGGATTGGGATTCCAGATGAGATTATATCCTGTTTGGTTTAATGGCTGTGTTTTTTGCGGGAGGTGGAAATCACCCCATTCCAAAAATTAGATAATCAGAAATCTTATCTTGGCTATGTTGGTCTGTGTTTTGAAGAGGCTTATCTGGGAGGTGTCTGTCTGCAGGGCACCTGCTGCCTGATAGTTTAAGCATTCCTTTCAACAGCCATGTTTTGAGGATTGAACTAAATTCCAGTGATACATCAGTAGTCATTTCTCATATGGTTCCATTGCTTTCTGGACACACACAAGCTGTTGCCTTGATTGAATTTTATGGTAAGATTATGACATGATTATGGAAAGCAGTGATGTTATTTGATATGCAAACCATAATGGAAAGGATATTTTTAGTAAATGAATATTCCTTTCTGCAACATGTAATGTTACTCTTCTCTTGTCTCTGGTCACATTGGAAACATCATGGAAAGTAGGTCTCCCATCCTATGTAGTACTTAAATTATCCTCATTTATGGGGATGTTACTGGTGTGGCTGGTGTGTATTTTTATTTAGTTTAATTATCCCCTTTGGCAGCTTGCCCATTGGGAGTCCCTACATTAATGCTCCTCAGAGGGAAACCCAGCATTCTGTTGCCAAAAGGGTAATTTAACTCCGTACTGGTCCCAGTAAGAACCTTGATTACCTGCATCTCCTTAGCTCTTGTGTGGCAAGGATTGAACCAGTTTTGTGTCTTTGTCATCTGAGATGTTAATGATCATGTCTAAGAAGGCTGAGGGACAGACACTAATTTATGTCTTATGTTGTTTTTTGTAGCTCTGGGGGGTTATTTTTTAAAACATAAGATCATACATTAACACTGACAATGTGGGGGAGAAGCATTTCTCTAAGTCCAAGCAATATTCATTTTCCTTGCAGGACAAAATTCCTAGTCCTTCAGATTAATTTAAAACCACTGGAACTGTAGAAAGCCTTTGTTACAGAATATATCAGAGACTGGACTAGGTGATTTAATAAGTCTTTTCCTTTATTAAATTATTTGATTCTCTGAGTATTGCACATCCCACAAGTACCATACAGGGAAAGGTTCTTTCCAAGAATATGATGCATCCAAGTAACATTTTAGAGAGCTTAAAATAATCTGTTGCTAGCACCTTCAGAACCAATTGTGGGGAAAAATACTTCAGCTTTATTCACACATGCTTGTATTAAGATGCTTTACAATACTCACTAAGAACACAAGCAAACAGCAAATAAAACTAAACTTAGCACAGCATAAAATACAATAAACCCAATACAAACTGCAATAAAGAAGGTGTTTGGAGTCAAACTCTGAAGGTGCAGAAGGAATTGTCAGGATAAATCTCCAGAGGTGCAACATCTTAACAAGCCAGCACAGAAAGCTAAAGCCATTGCTTGTCATTAATGGCAGTCAGTACTGCCATCTGATCTGAGTGATTGATCCTCATCCAAACTAGGAGTCCCCTAAACTCTGGGCCTGGAGAAGCAGTGACCTCTGATTTCAGAGAATGTAGTTGACTAGAATGGAGGAAACAAATGGAATCCACAAAATTGACTGATATTTACTAATGATTTCAGAATCCAACAGGAATGTGTTTAAAACAGGGTTTACAAGAGCATGATGAAAAATCCTAGAAACGATCAAAGAATTAACAATGCTAGTTATAGGGCCAGAAAAGAGAGGAAGAAGCTCCTGGCAGAACTGATAGGAGAAAGATTAGCTGCTCTTCTGTCGGATCCTGACTTCACAGGTCAGGGCAGAAACGTCAGAACGAGCAAAACAGCTAAACCGGTGTATAATTTCACCCAGGGGATAATCAGAGGGAAAGTTATTCTGGATCCTCGCCATCTAACCAGAGGGAAACAGCAGCGGCTGCATTGAGGGAGAGCACTGGGAAATTACCTGCAGCCCAAGGAGGAGTGCTGAGGAAAGCATTAAAACTATGAAAAAGTTGCTGAGAAGTATGGTTAGACGCCTCAGTCAAGACAACAGGAACCTGCTGCCTGGTATCAACCAAGCAGGTGTTAGACAATGAAAGATTGGGCACATGCCTGGAGTTCTTCCAGCAACACCTCTTGCAACAAACAAGTCGTCCCACTGCCTGGGGGGGTCTGAAGAGAAATATGAATGTGGAGGACAGCTTGTCGAAGTACATCTGTGGGCTTTTGCCCGCTGTAATCCAAACATTGGTACCTCTGTGTTGCAGTGAGCCATTAAATCACCCTCTCCTTTAGTAAGGCTTATATAAACACCTGCACGTGTTTCGATGAGTAACCCTCTTAGCAGAGAGTGACACTTCACAAAAAGGAATATTAAAAGAAACAAACTCGTGAATGAAGTGCAAGTGAAAAATTATCTGAAAAGGGCAAAGTCAGCTAATAAAAAGGTCCAGACAATGTCTAGACAAGTGAGTGGCTACAAGAAACCGCTGCCTCAAATCAAGACTCACAAATCAGCATTGAAACAAATACAGAAATATCAGGTGAATAATCACCATCATTTTTGTTTAAGTGGCCCATAATTAAGCAGTGGACAGTAAACGGCTGAAAAGTCAGCAAACCTCTCACAGATTATAGGTTGTACAGCGCCTCGCACAGCGGGGTCCTGGTCCATGACTAGGGGTAGCTCCTAGGTAGTATGTTAATAGTGCTACTACTGCTAATAATAATAGGTAGGAAATAAACTACTTCTGCCTTTTTAAAATCAGCAATGGGAAACTGCCATATGGACAAGGTTACAGAGCAGGCATTAACTTATTATAAGGCTCTACAACTAGAAACACCAATAGTGCAACTCCTCCAGCCCAACCAGCCATTGTAGAAGAGTGTGGAGAATAGTGCCACCCTAATCTGTAACGCACAGGGTGATAAGATTCTCAGAGACAAGTGGATCTCTGTCACTGCCAGGAGGTCAATACTCCTGATGATGGATCATATCAGATTTGTTAACCACAGACTGTGCATTCTGGAGTAAAACCATCCATGCTCAGATGACCGAGGAAGGGAAATACAGTCAACAGGAGGTGTGGAAATGAAATTAGCCAAACATAGGGCAGAGGAAGAAAAGTCCTACTGGCAGATGACAGAGGAGAACCCCCAGCAATGACCTGTTACCCCCAGTGATAGGTCCTGGGAGCAAAAACAAAACTTAGCACCACC